TCCGAATACGTCATGCCCGTCATGTTCTCGTCGGACGCCATCGTAGCGCTCTCTTCGATGCTGGGGATAGGCACGTCGGCAGCGGCGACCGATGCCAGAAACTGTTGGGTCGGGGCGTTGAAGCTGGACACGACACGCCTCTTAAGCTTGAATCTGGGCCGAGGTGGCGACGGTGGCTGCAGCATGCTGCCGTCGAGGCTCTGGTCGCGGTCGGCGTCGGCGGTGGCGGGGAGGGGTTCTGGTGTCTTGGGCTCGGCAGAGTCGGTGTCGTGGTAGCGGAACCCCTTGGGGAGCGTGGCAGCTCCGGAATGTGAAGAGGCCATGATGGCTGAAGGGGGGTTGCGCTCGGCAGCGCGGGGGGGGGGGGACCTTTTGTCGGAATGTTGCGCCCTGCAGGTCTCAGATGAATGCCGAATGACTGATTTTGCGTGGCTCGTGCTTTGCGCAAGCCTTTGGAGGGGTTGCGCGCAAAGGGTTGATCGATGCGACAAGTCGTCGCAAGGAGCGGGCGCGGGTCTGGCTCTGATAAGTCGCGCGTGCCGTTTGGATTATGGGGGCGACGGCGTCTTCAAGAGGGACTCGAGGGTCTCATAATAATACTGGGTTCGTAGTCGTAAGGTCGTATGACGGGTCGGAGGTTTCGACTGTCGTGGTTCGTGGAGAGGGGTGGGTAAAAAAAAGGAAAATGCTGGCTGAAGCGTGGCGCCCGTGTTGTTATGTTTTGGATTGTTGACTTTGGGCGATCGGATGTTTTGCGCCGTAGCCTAGGAGATGGAAGTGGACGTTTGAATTTGCCCCTCGTAAATTTGTTTCTTTTGAACGACCGGCGATGGAGGCCGCGAGCGACGGCGGAAAAAAGAATGTCTGCGGTAAGAAGGAGATGTAAGAGAGGAATGGGCGAGACAGGATGTGTCGGCCGGGAAGGCGGTCGGTGTAGGGGTAACTGGAGGAGGGAGAGACGGGAAGGTCAGGCCTGGTCAGGCTTGCGCGCGCCCGTCGAGCGAATCTAGCGCAGCGGGAAGGGAAGAGTGGGGGGGGGGAGGAAGGAGGACGGGGGACACCAGACAGAGTTGGGAGGAAGGCGAGGCAAAGACGAAAGGTGGGACGACTGGCGGGAACCCACTGAACACCCAGTCGGGGGGCTTTTGAGCCTTGGGGGCCTGGGGGCGTTGAGGCCTTGGAACTTGGGACACTGGGACCTTGGATAGTTCCTAGCGCTTGGGGGTTTGCGCTTCTGTGAAAGGAAAGGCCGGACGAGTAGTGGGGCCAGCTGGGAAATCCCAAAGACGCTACCAGGGGGGGAGGGGCAGGGGACCGGGGGCCGGGAGGGGTGGAGGAGGAGAGGACGGTGACAGGCTTTGTCAGTGGATGCCACGACCTCAGGTTTTTCCCTGCCAGGTGCAGTTTTTTCCTGCCAGGTGCAGGTGCAGGTCCAGGATGAGGTTCAGAGTACAGGTTCCGTCCTCTATCTGTCCGTGCCAGGTACCTTATGGTGGGGTTCCAGGTGGATTCCAGCCAGGCGCCTGATTCTGTCGTATTCCCTATCCCGCGCGTTTGTGTGTGCTTGGTGCACCCGAGTAGTTCGTAGTCCTTGGGTCTTCAAAGAGTCGGTCTGGCCAGCCCTGACCTTCAGGGCTTGCTTGATCGAGTGGGCGATCCGAAACGAGTATTGCGAGGATCCAGAGCCACCAGATCGTGACCCCAGCTCTCATCAATTCTTAGCGAGCACCGTCTCCGCAATTCGGTGCCAGCTTCTCCCTCTGCGCGAGTAGGTACGTAGACACACAGGAAGAGAGGAGACTGGTGATCTGTTCATGCGCGTGAGCCCATCCGCCGTGCTTAAGGTTGTGCAGAAGGCTTGCAAGTGTAGTGCAGTGCAGTGCAGCAAACGCCGTGCAGCTATCGCCCGCCAGTCATCCAGTTCAGTTGGGCAGGGACCAAAAATGACTTTTGTTCGTGGGGGGAGATGTACCAGTATGTGATGATTTGTCCAGTCCTTTTCCAGACGTGGATCTTGGCCGAAATATCTCGTCGTTGGTTCGTTGGCTTTGCTGTTGCACTGAGGGGAGGGGAAAGACCTTGATGCACCTGCGACTACGACAGGGTACCTGAGGCGAGCGGGTAGAGGACGCTTGCAGTCTTCTTGCTGCAGCAGCTCACTCTGCAGCCCGTCAAGTCTTTGAGAGTTGGACGAGTGGATGATGGGTGTTTCGAATGCGTGTGAATAACGGGTCCTCTTCTTTCTCTACATGTACATTCCAGCCCTGGCTTTGTTTGACGCCAAGTTGGTGTCCACTGCGGCAGAGACACACAAACGGGTGGACACGAGAGAAGTGGATGAGAGTCGGCCTTGCTTGAGACACCAGTCCAGCTCTCCACTTTGTTGGTGCAGGCCGCCTGCAGGATGATTGAGGGTGGAGTTCGGTTCGAAGGTTTTTTTTGGGCTGATCTGTTGGCCTGCCTCGTGCTTGTCAAGGCAAGGTACAGCTCAAAAATGCGAGTGGCGGCGGCTGGTGGTCGGCAAGCCTCAGTCCAAGAGGTCCACGTTTGGCCTATCTCTTTGTTTTGTTTTCTTCTCTGGTTGTTGGTGTTTTGATAAAGCCGTCGCAACCAAGAGCACACTGTAGCGATCGAGAGTCTTGTCAGTGTTGGCCAGATTCCCTCCGTCCATTACCTGCGAGCAACTTGGTCATGGAAAGAATGCGGGACGATGAGGAGTTCACTTGGATCGTCGCGGGACGACGGGGAGGGGGATAGCCAGATACCGGAATCAGCGCTGGCAGCCCGGCCGGCAGCGTAACGTCACGGATCGCGATGGGCGATTGCACGCGGGAGCTCTTTGACGGCCTGGGCTTGGGACGATTGGGTGTTCGAGTGCCCCTCGTCTGACGTGTGGATGGAGAGGGGAAGTCGTCAGCTGGCGCGTCGAGACGCGAACTAGACGCGTCAATAACGCGCCACCGGCCATCTTTAGTGGTACCTAGTGTCTTCCTCGTCTGGACGGGCGGTACTCCCAGATCCTGTCACATCTCACGCTCCTCTCCCCGCTCCCAAGCAAGCTCCTGCTCCTGCTCCTGCTCAACCTGGATGCCAGTGCAGCCATGGTCACTGAAGCAGGTCCCACGTTTCACTGTCCTTGTCTCGACGTCCACAGCAGACGCACTTTGCTGGCAGTACGACACCCTGCGCCCAAGGGCTTCAGTATCCCAGCATCGGCATCCTAGCATCAGCATCCCAGTATCCTGGTTGACGTGGCTTTGTCAACAGACGTCCTCATTAAACCGTTGGTCACTTGAACACATTGGCGACCTTTGTTGCTCTGTTTCACGACCGCCCTGGTCCACGACGAGGTTCTTCTCGGACTGGACCTTTGCGATCAACCAAATACGCCCACAGCGGTGAGTCGATCCCGGCAATTGGCGGGCCGGGGGGGGTGACAGGAAGGGGTGAGGGGGTCCCGGCCACAGCAAACGCCAAAGGTTATCACACGCACGTCGCATCACATCACCAGCCCCCCCCAGGCACTCTGTTCTCACGTCGTGTCCCTCCAGGAACTCTTCTCCCTTGACAACCACTGGGCGAAGAGATGACTGGCTTCAGCGCTTCGCTTACTCCTCTCATCCTGCTGACGGCCGAGCGAGTCGAGCCATGGATCGGACGCGCCATGTAGAGAGAGAACGGGACGGCGAAAGTGATGGCGCAGACGCTGACAGGTGTGCCGGAGCACAGATGCGACAGTTGTGCCGGAGCCCGCGGCGTTCTTCACCATGGGGGCGATCAGCCTCTTGATTGGCAGTACTAAGTTGCAGGCTACGAGTGCACCAATATGCTTCCAGTTAGGCTATGTAATCGTGAAGCCCTGCTATTGTGGCAGGTAAGGACTCGACGCTTACTACTGTCAAACTATTGAAGTGACGTGCACCGGGCTCGACCATGTGGCAGATCCCGGCTATCGTTTGGACAAAGAGGTAGTCTGAGGTTTCTGCCTGAGGCGCAGCCTGGGGAGAAATGCAATTGATGTTCATGCAGCCAGTGCTACGAATCACACTGTCGAACCTTGCGATCTCCATCGTGGTGTTCATTCTTCCTTGGACTTTGTCCATCACCGCATAACCAGAGCCAAGTGTCACCAGTCGGACCGGCTTCATGAGAGAGGGGTGCTGTGACTGGCATGGTTCGGGCGAACCTTGCGCTCTTGTCCGCGTCGCTGGCCGTTGTTCATGGTGCCGTTGAAGATACGAGGCGTGCGTCATACGACCTGACATTCCCTCATGTTGTATCGATGGGCATTGAAGCAGACCGCCGGCGCTAGACTCACAGATACGGATTCGCTAGTTGAGCATTCGTTCACGTTTGTTATCTACCTTACCTAGGTAAGGGAGGGGAAGTGCGGCAGAGCATTCTGAAGATGACTGCAAGAGTCGATACTGACAGTCATTAAAGGGTCCCACAGCTAGACTAGAGTCAGGATCCAAGCTTTCTTCGGTGCGCACGTTCCGCTCTGCAATCGTCCGTCTACCGACTCCAGTGGTGTCGGGCATTTTGATCCTTGGCTGAAGCCCTCAATGACGCTCTATTGCCCCGTACGGCTGCGGGACTCGGCCGAAACCCTCTTCCGCCGTGGACGCTTGACTGCCGCCCGCTGACAGTTGGTGATGTTCAAGCCCCTCCGACGTCCAGGCCTCACTGTCCAGTGTTGGCCCAGCAGGCACACACGCAGCGCGAAGGGGGTCGTGGGCTGCACCTGCTCCACAAGCGGGAGGCAATGGGCACCTCGGCCCCTCCTGCCTTGCGTTGCGCACCTCATTGCTTTGATCGACGAATCAGAGGTTACTCACACCACCAAGCTGAGCAACGTCACTGGACGCTCCACAACTCTTGACATGTCCCTCACGACTTCCATCCCACATCTTGGATAGAAGGGGCAGGAAAACGAGGCGCCAAAGGCACGACAAGGGATCAAAGCGAGACTCTCACGACATCTACCTGACCGTCGCGCCATGGCACATACGTCAAGCATCATTACCCTCGATAACCTCGACGATTTGCCACCATGGGTTCCCGACGCTGCGAGCCACTTGTTCGCCATCGTCGATATGGGGTCGAACGGCATCAGGTTCACCATCACAGACATGACACCACCAAACTCGCGCCTCCTCCGTTGCATCTTTCGTGAAAGAGCCGACATCTCTCTTTACGACGCTCTCAACGCCAATGCCGATCGAGCACCAGGCGCTCCCTTGTCCTTTCCACCAGAGACCATCGTTCAAGTTTCTGAGACTCTCGCTCGCTTCCGCCGTATCGCCAACTCGTATGGGGTCCCGGAAGCCAACTTTTCCGTCCTCGCGACCGAGGCCATGCGTCGCGCCGCGAATGCCGCCGATATGCTGGGCGCCATCCGGCAGTCATCTGGTCTTGACGTGCGCATTCTCGCCCCTGCCGTGGAGACTCTCTTCGGCGCCGTCATGGGTTCGCGTTCGGCCTTTGTGAACATTGATCGCGGTGGCTTGTTCCTCGACATGGGCGGCGGATCGGTGCAGATGACATGGGTCGACACTCGCCTGCCCTCGTACGAGATCGCTGCCGCCGCTGCCGGGGAAAGTATGCCTTTCGGCGCAGCGCGACTGATTCGCGTTCTCGAGGCTGAGCCTGCTGAGGTGCGGACCTCGGAGACAGGCAAGCTGCGTCAGACCATGCAGGCCGCTTTTGCGCGCCTCTGCGACACCTTTCCAGGCTGCCGAGGGCGCGCCGACAGCAGCGAGGGCCTCGATGTTTTCATGTGCGGCGGCGGTCTTCGAGGCTACGGGTGCATTCTGCAGCACTGCGATCGCATCCAGCCGTATCCCATCGCTTCTGTTGGCACCTATACCGTCACGGGTGGCTTCTTCAAGCAGACAGCCAAGATGCGCAAGGTCAACGACGAGTACGATGGCAAGATTTATGGCATGTCCAAGCGCCGCCGACAGCAGTTCCCCGCCATTGCCGAGGTCGTCGAGGCTTTCATCAAAGCCGTTCCCAACATCCGAACGGTGACATTTTGTGCTGGCTCGAACAGAGACGGAACTCTTTACATGAAGCTGCCCGAAAAGATCAGGGAGAGCAACCCCCTGGAAGTCTTGGCAGGGTTCGCCTCCGAGGACTTGCCCATAGCACACGCCGCTCTGGACATGTTGCGGAGTGCCGTGCCGCCAGCTGTCGAGATCGGGACAATTCCCTCCATCTTCTCGCTGGAGCTAGGATTGTTGTTCGTCCGCCAAATTTGGATGCACCAGGGCGAGGATGAGGACGCAAATGCCTCGTTCGCGCTGCACCAAGCTATCGCCCGCGATCCTGGTGCTCCAGGTCTCACGCACATTGCTCGCTCCATCTTGGCTCTCGCGGTCTGTTCCCGTTGGGGCGCAAATATCGGTCCCGTCGACACTGAGTTGCATCATAATCTCAAGAGGCTCCTGGGCGATATCGATTCCGAGGCCCCTTTCTGGGCAGACTACCTTGGTGCTGCAGCTGCGGTTCTGGTTGACATTGTTCCCGCGTGGCCGAGGTCGCTCAATACGATGACGACCAATCTCAGGTACGATTATCGATCGACCTACTGTGAAAATAGGAGTCGAATTACTGACATTTGAACCAGATTTGAGGCCACTGCAGACAAGACGAAAAAGGAACGGGACCGCATCACTCTGACGGTGTTCGTGTCGGCGGATGCAGCCAAGGGCATCGACGCCGAGACGGTCAAGGAACGGTTTGCCAATGTCGGCAGGATGAAAGGCGAGAAGAAGCCCTGCAAGAAGGTGAAAGTTCACATTGAGGTGATGAACCAGGACAAGCCATGAGGACACCGAAATCACGTCTCGCAACGTCAGTTCTTTCTGAAGTCATCATTATTCTCATTACATCATAATCATTACCCATGAGAAAACGCCGAAGAGAGAATTACGTCGTCGAACTTTCTGCCTCGTATCAACCTGCCATCTCCATATCGTCCTCATCGTCACTGCCTGGATACAGGTCGGGGCTGGGAATCAGCACCATCTCGACAGGGGCTCGTCCCCTTCCGCGTCGATTGCCGAGGCGCTTGACTTCGAGGTCAACGACCAGGGTCTTGAGAAGCCTGTCTAGCTCATTGGGCGAAGTTTGGATGTATTCGTCTGTCTTGAGGTCAGACGTGAAACGACAGGTACGCCAAGGGAGAGCATGAACATACGGAAAGCCCCGCGCTCATGACGAGCATGCTGGAAGATATCGCCCACCTCGTGTCTCAGCGTCGACGATGGCATGTGGGTAGAGTCAAGGCACTGAAGGCTGACTTTGAGGTTACTCGCTTGGCGGTAGTGGCTGCCGTAAAATGACATGATGGCGACGTAGAGCTGCTCGGTTGCCGTTGTGCAGGCATCAAAGGCAGGGTGAACTATTGCGCAAGCGTTGTCAGCGCTGACCCTCCCACCCTGGCCAGGAATACGACATACCATTGGCGAGCCTTCCAGCTTCCTTGAAAGTCTGGGTGAGGTCCTTGAAGGTGAAAATGAGCTGCCACAGAGCGGCCCACATGGGCGCCCGGTCCTTGGTCGGGATGCCGGACGGCTTGAGGAACTTGTCAAGCTCATTGAAGATGTCGCGCTCGCAGGACTCGAGAGCCGATTTGACAATTTGTCGCAGCTCGGCGTGGATAAAAGGGGGCAGAGGGCTGTGGTGAGAAGTCTGAGCATGACGCCAGTACAGGGTGTCGACCCTCCAAATACGATACATGCACCTCATCTCGTGGATCTTGCGGATGAGACGGATCTGCGGCAGCGCCGTGCGGCTGGTGCCGGCCTTGATGTACTTCAAGACAAAGGTATCGATTGTGGCCTCGAAGCCGTAGTGCCGGCCGGCGTGGCGCTCAGCGAGGATCTGGTGCTCGACCCACTCCACGAGCTGGCTGTGGAGCGGCACGCGGTCCCGGGGAAAGGCAATGACCTCGGCGCCGTTGCTCAGGCTGTGACACTTGCGGAAGACAGTCTTGAGAGTGGGCGACTGCAAATCGATGTCCGAGAAGCTAAGGAACACTTCCCTGAAGCCTTCGCCCAGGGCACACTTGGTCCTCAGGAGGGCCTGCTCCTGGTGGTACCTCAGGCCGGTGTCTGACTCTCACGTAAGTACTTGTTCTCCCGGCAGAAGTGGGGCATGTCCGATTGACTTACATCGCACAAATGTGGTGTGCTTGGCGAGATCGGAAAGCGTCTTGCGCAGACAGGTCCTCTGGCACAGGGGAACGCCGTACTTGCCCTGGCAGGAGACGCACACTGTCTCGTCGGAGCACTTGAGCTTTTCGATACGGCACTTGATGCAGGCGCCGAGCTTGCGCACGCGGGCCGTCTCGGCCGGGTTCTTGACGTGGCGGGCGGCGGGGCTGCTCGGCCGGCGGCTCCTCTTCTTGCGACCGGACAGGCTCAGGGTCGAGTGCCGGGGCAGGTCCTGCGAGGGGTCGGCCTGGGGCCAGATGAGGTGCCCGTCGTGGCGGCGGGCGTCGGCGAGGGTCTTCTGGGTCGTCCCCTGGACTACGGCCTGCTGCTGATGAGGCTCTTCGGGGTCAATGTTCATGTCATAGGAGTCAGAGATGACGGAGGGCGAGGTGGCCGTGTCGTAGGCAGGGCCCGGGGTCAGCACGGAGGACGACTCGGAGCGTGAGCCGGCGTCGTCGGAGCCGTCACCGTAGTAGGCTGCCAGGTCAAAGTAGGCGTTGACGGGGTCTTCTTCAGAGACCAGCAGACGCCTCCCACGCGGGAGGGTCTGGAGGAGGGATCCAATCTCATGGGCGAGTGCCATGGTTCCGGGGTCCACGTCAGGCGGAGGAGGGAAGGGGGAGGGGGCAAGTGCTTGGATGACAGGGGCAGGCCGTTCTGGCAAAGGGGGAAGGATAGAGCAAAGGAGCCAGTCTGTACTGGTGAAGGGGTTCAAGAGGCTCTCTGTTGGACGACTCTCTTCTCGTGCTTTCACCGAGAAAACAAAAAGGAGGAGGAGGAGGAGGAGCAGGAGGGAGATGGTGAGCTTTTCTTCGGAGATGAAGCTGCGTAGTGCTTTCGATCGAAGAAAAGAGTATATTGAACTGCCTTTTAGTCTACGCCATTGCGCACCCCTCCACCCCTTCCCCTCTGGTTCTCAAGCCGTGGTCCTGGTCGTTGTCGTCCATTTCTTTGGTGTTAGTTGATGCCGATGCCAGATTCGGACTGGTCCAGCCAATGGGCGCTGTCGATCGAGTTGGCACTGTACGAGGGCCCAATCAATGAGGAAGCGCTGCTTCACCGAAAAGTGTCTCGTTGCATTTGACTTTTGGGGCCCGCGACCCCACGGCCAGAACGGCGGCCCATCTCATCTGCTTCGGCGACGACCGTCGGCGTGTGTATGTGTGTGTGTGTGCGGGAGGACCTCATTTTTTGAGGACAGCAGCTGTCAGAGTGTTTGTGTGACTTGCGGTGGATCTTGTTCTCTTTTTCCAAGGGAAAGGAGGATGATCGAATTGAGAGTCGGTCGTACTAAGCCGTGGCGTCAAGACACGACTACGTCGGGTGGTGTAACCTGCCTGTCAGTCAAGGTCCCATCGTGGACATCTGTGGACACCACGAGGGAGGCGTGCGACCATCGGGTTGCTGCAGGGCAGTGCCAGAGGCAACAGAACCCTCCAAGCTCCTCTCCTCGAACATGAATAAGAGTAGTCAAAGAGTGCCCTGATTTGCGTGAAACAAAGGGCCTCTGTGTCGGGGACGGGGTGGGGGGGGGGGCCTGGGAAGCCAAAAAGTCGATCGGAACAGGTATCAAAAGGTAAGGGTAGAGAGACGACGACAAATTTCGATTGACGCTTTTCATCATTCGTCCATGGG